CGAGGCCGGCATTACGGTCGAGGGCACATGCCACATCCTCAGGATCAGGGGCCGCCGCTGCAGCAAGCTCATGGCCTCTACGAAGTTGCCGCTGCGGGTGATAGAGCTGCACGGGGCCCAAAACAGACCGGAGCCGACGACCGCCATCTGCATCCTGGCGGCATCCCCATGATCAGGTAAGTCCACGATGACACAGTCGCTGATGTCCGCGCGCGGCGCGACGTTGGCCCCCACGACACCACGGTCGCTAGGAGGCATGACGCCCACACTAAGTCCGGCCCGTGCTTCACGGTGATCACGCCGATGATTTCCACCCCCCCGCACTGGTCGAAACTCAGCTGCCTGGGAAACGCGCCCGCGAGGCCCAGGGGGCGGACGCAGGCTTGGGAGGTTCCCCATGGAGCAGCGCACCCCCCGTCTTTAGCAGCAGCCAATGCGCCGCCGACACGACGGTCGCCCCGAGCTCCACGAGGATCTCTACGACGATTTCCCTCGTGAATTTTGACCTCCAGCATTGGTCGGTCAAAACTCCGCGGCGTGGATAAGACGCCCGCAAAACCCAGAAAAGGCTGCGGAAAAGTATCCCCTCCTGGGCGAGCAAGAGCTGCGTCGCGACAAAGAGGTCCTGCGGCCTCCACGGTCTCGGCGATGTCTCAGGACGCAGCAACGACACCCTGCCCACGGGCAGCGCGACGACGGCGAAGAAATTCGACGGCCGCCTCCACGGAATCGCCGTCGCCCACGCGGACGTCGCGGCCAGCGAAGCCGATGCCGGGACCGTAGGTCGACGGAACCTTGACGACGGTGGGCGGCGGCGCGCGTCGCATGCGTACGTCGCCATCGACGAGGCGAGGCTTGCCTCCGAAGCTGCCGCACTCGCCGCCCCCCGGTGTCGCTGTCGCACTCAGAATCATCGACGGGGCCCCAGCAGCCGGGCGCCAGCTGCGGCCCCCGAGGCCCACGGGCGACTCTCGCAGCGCCGAGCAGCCAGCAGAACGGAGCGCCTGCCAAGCCCAGGGGGTTCAGGAGCACCGCGCCAGCGGCGCCGCCCGCGAGGACACCGGGCGAGTAGGACAGGGCACCAGCGCCCAGGCGCGCGGCCCCGACACCCGCTGGCCTGTGCGAGGCGCCGCCACCGCCCACGAAGCTGGCAGGGCATTGCGCGCGGCGGCGCGGCGCGCCCGCGCGCGGCGGCGGCGGGCCGAGGTCGCGCACGCCGGGAGACATGGTGGTGATGATGATGGTGGTGATGATGGTGATGATGATGATGATGACGATG